CCCCACCTTCCCCTTACCCTCCTGGTAATGCTACTCTCATTATTGGTCCTGAGGGGGTTATCTTTCCTGGATTCCCTGTGTTTCCAGCTTTTATCTGTACCCATGTACATGCTCTGATCTAGCCAGATTTGTAAGATAGAGTTGGGATCATGATAGTGGGGGGGAAGAAGCATTAAAGAACAAGAGGAAAGTTGTATGTTTCATCGGTACTGTACTACACCCTGACTAGCTTGTATCTTCCTTGTGACCTTTGTGTAAGAGGATGTCCAATTGTCTACAGATAGGCATTGGGTCTCTCCTCTGCACTCCCCCTCATTCACATTGATATGATTTTTTGTTCTGGGTCTTTGATGCCTGATACCTGATCCCAACAACACCTCATGACCACATAGGCTGGTGTGCTTCTTCCATGTGGACTTTGTCATGTCTCAGCTAGATGGCCGCTTGTTTATCTTCAAGCCTTTAAGATCCCAGATGCTATATCTTTTGATAGCCGAGCACCATCAGCTTTCTTGACCACATTAGCTTATGCACATATTTTGTCTTCATTGTCATGTTGGGAAGGTGAGCATCACAGAATGCCAGGTTATTAGAACAAAGTGTTTTGCATTGAGGAAAGGAAATAAAATTCTAAGGTGATATATCTTAATCTAATATTTACATTTAACTTAAGATCATGCCATAATGAACTTTACAATAATCTTTATCTGATAGCAAGACTATTTACATCTCTGGACTATGGCCACAGGCTTAATCCTTGTGGGGACCCTGCAAATAAATGGATTTTGCACTTTATGTCACTTTTTGTGTTGTTGAAAAGAGGTATTTATAATGAAAAAGTCATTGTTCTTGCAAAATTCTATTATGCAATCTCCAGCTTAGTTTCTTCCACCAAGGCCATATTTTCCAAATGCCATTAGTTAAACCAATGCATATTGATTACATGTTTGATCAATTTCAGACTGAAGACTGGTAGAATTTCTTCATCACTAGTTTAATGATTGGTGCTTAAATATGAATAACAGTTGTATTGACTAGATTTCTTGTGTATAGATATGCTGTCACAGCATTGTGCATCAAGGTTGATCTTGAAATGTCCTTTTTGATAATGAATGTGATGCCATTCCTCTTGAATATGGCAAAGTACAGCATATGACTGCTTGGTTCAAAATGGCCAATGCCAGTCAATTTCAGCTCACTCGTGTCTAGGATATCAGCCTTTAGATGTTCCATTTTATTTCTGACAACTTCCACTTCTCCTAAATTCATACTTCATACAGCAGATGAAGGTCCCAAAGATTTTACTCCCAAGGGCTTTACTCCATCCCCATCATGATTGCTCAACTCTACTTTCCTCCATCATATTTTGAGAGCTTTCCAATCTGAAAGGCTCATCTTCTGGCACTTTGTATGACAATGTCCTGCTGCTCTTCAGGAGCTTTCAGTACCCGACAGTGTTGTTCCTGGTCATAAAGTGTTCTGTGGCGAATCCTCTGAAGGAGGAAGCCTATTCTGAAACTTGCTTTTGATCTTAGAGTATATAACACTAATATAAGATGATTATATAAAAGAGTGGATTAGAAAGTTTCCAAGGACAGCTCGAGAAGACTGTAAGCTCTGTAAGACTGTAAGTCTGTAAGCTCTGCTGAAACTGTTCACTCTGAATGACCCTTCTGGTATTGGTAATACCAGTGACTGTGGGGAAACTGAGAACTGGGGAGAGGATACTTGTGGACAAATTCTCTAGGCTCATGATTAAGATTCTGGGAGGCAGACTGGTGGAGGAAGGCCTTCACATTTGTGAGTTAGAGATGAATCCCAGCCACATTCTCCTGACTCAAAACCATCCCCACAATCTCCCCCTAGTAGTTTGCTTCTTACAAGCTCATAGCTGCTTACTATACACGTGAAGGTTGTCTGCTGTCAGAGCAATCAGACCCTTTTGTCCACCCCACCCTAAGTACGGCCCACTCCCTTCTTACAAGGATCATAGATTGTTCCCCTGGAGAAGAGCTCAGGAACATCTAAGGTTTTAAGCCAGCTCAGGGATGGCCAAGGTTAGGCTGCCATCTTAACTCTAGAACCTGCCCACCTTGTTATGTATGTGCCTTCCTGTCATGTGTATGCGTCTAGTACATGCCCTTCCTGTTACATATGTGTATCACGTGACTTGCATGCCTGGTGATTATATAAGCCTGTTGGAGAATACATTAGCTCTCTCTCTTGTTCCAGACTCCATGGAAGAGGTGAACCCTTGCATGCCTTGTCTGATGTTTCTTTGATTTACCCTTCATTTACACAACTACTCCTTAGGACGCTCTTGGGTGTAAGGCTGGACCTTACAAGTGACATAGCTTCCAGCATCACAGCAACACACAAGTCACCACAGTACAACTAACTGACAAGTGGTGGACCTTGAGTACAG